GAGGCACGTTTTTACTCCAAGACAGAAAGTTAGAAGGTTAGAGAGAGCAAAGATCTTCTTTAATTGGTTGAAAAATTATCCTGAATCATATATATATATATATATATATATATATATATATATATATATCCCTCACCTTCATCCCTGCCGTACATCAACGTGACGCCAATTCAGTCGGGTTTCGGTCCTAGCTAGAGGCAACTGGACGTCTAGCCATTACTAATGAGCTGTGATACAGCGAAACAGTCTGTGGATGACAATATATATATATATATATATATATATATATATATATATAGAGAGAGAGAGAGAGAGAGAGATAATATAAGTGGTAAATATACACATACATATGCAAAATATATAAATATATATACAAAGATATATATTTAAGCTTTTTTATTATATATATATATATATATATATATATATATATATATATATATATATATATATATATATATATATATTTCAACTTTATTTCAATCATTCATGAGCTTCCAATCCCTAGTTATGATTAATTAATGATGAACATGTCATTTTGGTTTATGATCGATTTCATCTCGATTCTTCTGTTAAGCTTAGAGAGTAATTATGCATTCTTATTGCTCAACTTAGAGTCCAATAGTGTTATAAAAAAAAACTCACAGAATTCCAGTAAGGTATCTTTAATAATGTCTAAGAAACAACGGTTCGGAGCTTAATCTAAAATTTGGACAATTTTGCTGTTATAAAATTTGGTCACTTTTTTTGCTGTTCCACCCGGCACACACACACACACACACATATATATATATATATATATATATATATATATATATATATATATATATATATATATATATAATAAAGTAAATCGTTGACTGTGACAATCTTCATGCGGAAAGCTTTTCACCACCTACGACTATAAGTAAATTGGTGGTATATGATAAAATACCAACAGCTAACCTAATTCAATAAATGCTAAAATAATAATCTACACCACAGTGAGATTCCTTTAGAACAACATTACATATATCTTAAGTGTATCTAAGCATCTAATCTTTATTCAAACAAGTTTCCTTAAAGATAACTAATATAGCTACGTCAGTTATATTTTTAAAGTAAGTTTTTTTTTCTCGTTTTTTTTTTTTTTTGTGGGGGGTAAATTTTCGTATCTTAGAGTCCAAAATACAAATGACAAATTAGGAATACCTAAGTAAAACAGGTACAAAAATTTAAATATCTGGGAAGTGCTTCAACAGAGGACGGAAAGTGCGACACAAGAATCCGAAGGCGCATTGGAATAGCCAAAGAAGAATTCCAAAAGCTAAGCAAAGTATTAAGAGACAGAAAACCTTCGCTAAAAATAATGAAAACTGTACTGAATTGTTACGTAATATCAGACCTCCTATATGGCAGTGAACACTGGACAATGTCCTTAAAAAAAAGAGATTTGAAGCAACAGAAATGCGATTTTACAGAAGGATGTTGAGGATACCTTAAACCGAACATGTAAGCAACGACGAGGTTTTAGACAAAATGGAAACAAAACGGAAACTTATACTTAATATCAGGAAGAGACAGTTCAAATTTCTAGGGCACCTATGGGGAAGGAGGGTTTGGAAAATCTGGTACACACAGGACAGATTGAAGGCAAGAGGAACAGAGGAAAACAGCGCAAAAGTTACATAATGATCGTGAGTAAATGTATGGTTTAGGAGAAACAACAAAAAGACAAAATTTATTAAGAGCTACGAAGGACAGGAAATTGTGGAGAGCCATGATCGCTACGTCCTGAAGGGAGACGACACATAAGGAAGAAGAAGAAGAAGAAGAACAACAACAACAACAACAACTGCTGATGATGGAAAGAAACTATCCACAGCCACTGTTTAGTCTTGTTAAGGTTCCTGCTATCGACTGATTTCATTCATTATCAAGTAATAAATTAGATGAAATTTTGTCTCTCTCTCTCTCTCTCTCTCTATATATATATATATATATATATATATATATATATATATAATTGTGAAGACAATTATAAGACGCCTCACAAGTACAACTTACAAATTTAAAATGTTAGTTTTCATTATACAGTAAAAAATGAATGTGGAATTCGATTTTAAAAGTAATTTGTAGCTAGATTCTCTCAATATATATATATTTGCCGGGGTGGGGAAAGGGGTCCTGGTCGTATCAATTCACTTCATGTCTCACCTATTTTACCTTCTCAAACTCCAATTATTCAAGATGTCTCAATTTTTCTGTAAATTTCTAATTTGATCTAACTTCACTTCAAGTTTTTGGGAAGATTTTCGTGTCTTCTATTATAGGCACGATAACCTTTGCTGTTATTATTAAGAGCTGATAGATGACCTAGCAGTAAGTAGCCGTAGAATGGAATCAACCAATCGAAATTCATCAATTTAGCTATAATATCTATTGGAAAAGACAACGTTTTCCATTTTTCCTGCATCTTGCTCGATCACCGGTCATTCTTCTGATATTAGGAAAAGTTGGAAGAAACAGAAAGAAAACTGAAGGTACTTCTTGGTAGTAAATGAAATTGAAAAGAAAAGACAGATCCTCACTTGCATAATATGGTCATCGGCAAAAGGGCCAGCCCAGGCCCACTCTACAAAATGGAGAGGTCAAACTAGAGCAAGTACATAACATGTCACTAGATGAGTGTGCTTATAACAGACGTCAGAAAATGTTACACAGAAATGTGAGCTCACGTTGGAATAGCAAAAGATGCTTTCCAGAAACTAAACAAAATATTAAGAAACTGGAAATTGTCATCAGAAACAGCTCAGATGTTATGTCCTTCTTTATGGCATTGGATTCTGGACAGTTCCCTCACGATATTGAGTCTCCCACCCACACACACACTGGGGCAACATGTGACACAAGGTCGGTTGTTTATTGTGGGTTTCCCGAGCCCGTGGGCTCGGCCCCAAAATATGCCCGTTTGAACCCGTATAAACGGGCTCAGGGCCGGTTTTACCTCCCCGAAGGAGACTCCGCCCTTCGGCGTAGCCTCCTTCGGGTTCCTCTCCGTCCGTAGACAGAGAGTTGAACCGAACAGTCGCTCAGAAAGTGAACGACTCACTCACTCACACTCACTGGACAGTTCCCTCACAGGTGAAGAGGCAACGTTAGGCAACTGATATGTAGTTTTACAAGAGAAGAGTTGTTGTGGATGTGTGTTTAGTTGTATTAAATTTAGTATAGTATATAACTAATTTAATTTTTTACTTGGATCAGTGTGGAATATATTAGTGTTTATAAATATTTTTAGAATTTTTTCCTCTTGCTTATACTTAGATTGCATTTGACTACGGTACAGTAGTCGATATGTTTAGAGTTGTTTGATGATGTATTATGTTCAATTTCATTTATATTTATATTCTCAATAGCTTGTCTAATCTGTTCATCATCGATGTAATTAGGAAAGTTATTATTAATGAGGGTTTGTTTAATATTTTTAATTCATTATAGAAAATCTTTCTTGTTAAAGCGTTTGTTTTTCGCAGTTTATTAAGTTTGATATAATAGCTATTTTGCAAAAGTTGGGACATTCACTTTTATAGTTGAGAGTGCACGTGTTAATGCTGGTCGGATTTATATTTGTATGTAAAGATTCGATTGAATACATAAATGTATAAAAAAAAAAAAAAAAAAAAACTGACAACCAATAGTAATGAAAAAATTTGAACCGTTAATTTATAAACAGTAATTTGGACTTTGCTAACCAGCCGCTTTCTCGGTAGCTGAGAGGTATAGCACGTCAGATCAAGTGACGATTCCGTATAGGACACAGGTTTGATTCCTGTCGGAGAACGCATATTCAAGCCGGTAAATGTAATTAATACTGTTTATTAAAAAAAAAACAGAGCATTTACTTAAATAAATTTTATCTATTAAAATTAACATATAAACAGAATGTATATATATATATATATATATATATATATGTATGTGTGTGTGTGTGTGTGTGTGCATGCGTGTGTGTTTTTCAAGGGTATTTGCAAGTAAGTGAATACAACGAACCTGTCTAAAAATTAAACTCCGCCTTCACATTTGCAATTCCGAACCGTTGACCATTACAACACCCTCGCATCCAAGCTTATAGCACCTGTTATAGATAGATAGATAGATAAATAGATAGATAGATAGATAGATAGATAGATAGATAGATAGATATGAACAAACACTAATAGGTAGAGAGATAAATAATAAATTCCTGAAATATTCAAAATGTTTTGATATCTTCGTTCTTCGTATCCGGTATTGTAAATTTTCGCCAATATGTCCTTTTTTTATTTTTTTAACATCTTTTTACATTTAATTAAACCTATGCCCTTATCCGTCTTCATGTAAATTAGTTTTGTCCTTGCCGCTACCGTTCCTTCTGTAAATGTCCTCTTTACATTGCGGCCATCGTCATGTTATTGCTATTACACTGTGTGTTTGTGATTTAGCCAATCAGCATACAGGACACGCCTACCTGCCCATCTCATTTTCCCGCCAAACTCCCAACCCTACCTGGCAATACTTATCAAGCAATCTCTTTGTGATGCATTCATGCTGATATCTTTATCGTCTCCTTCGCTATGATTTCAGACTCGTCAAGTTGTGTCTTCCCACCATTCCGTTTTGGAAGCGTAAGAATTTCCTGTCCACGAGCTGGCATCACCACATTCATGATGGCAATCCAGACACTTCCGAAGTAGCGTCCTGCGATTATTTTTTTCTTCTGCTGAACGAAGTAAATCCAGTTCGTAACGTTAAACTATTTTTTTCTTTAAGTTTTCTTTGTCTTGTAAAATAATTTGGACGTAATCTTTCATTCGGATTGAACTTACATTTCATTTAATAGTGACTTTATATTTACATCATATTATTATTATTATTATTATTAATATTATTATTATTATTATTATTAAAATTGAAATTGGATTTCAATGTGCCTCACGGGACACTTTTAACGCCTTCTTAACTAATTCAACATTTCTCTCATGATGGCTGAACAAACACCATGGTTGGAAAACAGTTCTCAACAAGGAAAATCAACTTTAACCACTGAAACTCCTTTTTGCGAAAAAGACACCGTTCCCACCACTATTGCATCTCCATTTGGACCCCCTTTCACACCTGAACCCGCTGCCTTCACTTCCGGTCCTGCACACTTTATGTCCGGTCCCTCTATATTCACTTCCGGTCCATCGGCGTTTACATCTGTAAAGACGGCGTTCACAGCTGGACCACAGGCATTTACAGCAACCGCTTTCTCGTCCGGTCCTGTCGGTACGTCGTCCGAACGTTCAGCTTTCACGACCAATGACAACGTTGCCTTGGTGCCAGCCTTCACCGCGAATTCAATGGGATTCGCTTCAAATCAATCGGCCTTCACAACCGACATTTCTATTCCGGCCGGGTCTGATGATTTCGGACATTTCAGTAGCAGTGAAAATTTTCGCGAACCCGTGGTCAACGAATGGAACAATCAATCCAAACAGATGCCTGACTCCAGCTCTTCATTCTTGATCTCCGCACCGCAACCTTCAAATCCGCTGGTGACCGGTTCAGGCCCCTTTCAGATGGCCACGAACCCGACCAGTTTTATCAAGGAGCAACCACAATACAGTCAACAACAGCAACAACAACCTCCTCCGACGTTACCGCCGCCACCTCCACCACAGCAGCAGCAGCAGCAACAACAGCAGCAATTCCAAAATTTGATAACTGAGGGTCTAGAAAGGGTTATGTATGCACCGCAACCGCTCCAGACTGACCCTTTCGGTAGTATACCCTTTCAGAGTATGACCCCCACTCCGAATGCGAGCCCCTCATTATCACCAAGAAGGCTTCGAGCAGACTCGCCCTTTGCCAAGTCTCTCTCCCCTTCTCCGTCCCCGTCACCGTCCCATTCGCCGCTGTTCGACGCCGCCGCCGCCGCCGCTACTGACAATCAGCTCCGTTCTCTAGACGAAACTTTTGCCAATATGTGCCTGAGCACAAACGCGTCTCAGCTCCCCACTGTGCCGACCGCCGGTGTGACGGCCAAGGCCATTCCTCCACCTCTGCCTCCGCCACCGCCGGTTCCGCCCTCGTCGGCTCATCATCATCACTACCACCAACAGCACCATCAGTACCAGACTCAACTCCAACAACCCCAGAACACCCCACAGCCTTCCCCGTCTCCACCTCCGCCCTCACAGCAGCAGTATTCACCACACTTACCGCCACCCCCGCGATCTTCTTCACACTCCCCTATAAATGTATCCCCTCTGCTGTCCCCGGCCACAATAGCCGCGTACCAACAACAACAGCAGCAGCAACAACAGCAACAGCAGCAACAGGCACTAAATCGGCAACAAGTGACACAAGCTGTGTTTTCTTTCACTTCGTCCCCACCTTCCCCATCATCTGACAGCAGTACCACCCTCGCTTCGAGCGTAAACGAAATAAATGCCTGGAACCCTAATTTCGCTACTCCCAACCCGAACTCTCTGTCCCCGGCTGTTTCTCCATCCTCGAGTTTCAATATGCTATCAACAACTTCCGCGTCGGCTGGGGCCTCTTCGTCAACTTCCTTGGGCACATCGACGTTCGCTACTAAGCCGCGGTCGGCTTCTGTACGCCGGTACCGTCGGAGAGCCGACCAGGAACTCCAAGAAGAAATGCGGCCGCGGACAAGTTCCATGCCGACCAAAAACACGTGCCGAAAACCCCAGCTGCTCGGGCCACCACCTTGGCAAGCTGACAACGACGATCTCTTTGTGGAACCCTCGGATGCAGGAGTCGCTGGTGTGAGCGGAAATTATGGGCCCGGCACCGGTCAACCGGGATCTGGCAATTTTTCGACGTCAGGTTTCTACCGCCTTCGTTCGTTCGCAACCACCTCAAAAGGAGTGGTCAACAGAGGCGACTCCTTGATTACCAACTGTAGTTGGGTTTCACCTAATAACAGCGTTAGTGACTACCCGTCAACGTCGAACAGTACATATTCCCTTTCCTCAGTACAAATCCTCAAGGTTTTTGTATTTGGCACTCCAGGCGTTGGAAAAGCATCTATCATTCAACAGTTAATGACTTCTGAATATATGGGATGGAACAGTACCGACTCTTGCGAAGGTAAGTAACTTGTTTTACTTACAATCCGTATTTTTCTTGCTTGGGTCATTCTTTTGTCAGTTTGATCTCCTATTATTGTTATTTCTAATATATAGGTGGGTAACCTTTTTTTTTAAATCATTTAACGTCAAGCAAGGCAATAAAGCTACTAAGTAAAAAGGGGTTACTGAAAATAAGAGAGAAAAAAAACACTATTAAGACGAAAGAACTGTAAAAGAACAGTAATTAAGACAACGATTGACATTGCTTTTAAATTTTTGAAGATCAAAATAGACTCGGAAGCAAGAAAACGGAAGAGAGTTCCACAAGCAAGAGAAGAAACTGTTAGCATAGAACTTACGTTTACATCTAGCCATTCCAACCGTAAAAGGATATAAACCATGCCGCCAATCTAGTTTCGCGCTTAAATTCATAAAGGCTACTTACCATAGAGAAAATATCATCAAAACAACGCCCATGAACATATTTATAGAAAAGGCAGAAGGAAGCTACATTACGTCGGTGGGAAAGTGACAAAAGCCGAGATGCCAGGTCAGGACCAATAACTTATTTGCAAATTCCTCTTTGGATTTTATCAAGAATCTCTAAATATATAACAGGAGCACCACACCAAGTGTAGCAGCAATATCCAAAACCAGAATGAATGGTAAACTTATAAATGTCTATTTTGACTAGCACGACATTACTGTCCATTGCTTTCAGCCACTTTCTTAGCCATTTTAAGGGGTGTTATTTTTAGTCTCTCTTCATGCTTTAATTTCCTTAGAGTTTTTTTGGATTTTTTTAATACTAATAAGATCGTTTATTCCGAGCTTTCACATGGTGTGCGCGGCTGGAATTCAAGTGAACGTCTTGAATGGCAAAAGGAACTGGCCGAAAGCGCTTGGGACAATGGATGGTATGGTCAGTTCTTGTACTGCCTCACTCCCACCAAACTGAAAAATTAAAAAATATACATATTATCCCTCACCGGTAGCACGACTCGAAATTTCATACACAACGCAATCTTCAGGTGCTGCGTATACACTGTCCGTTATTTAATTTAAAATTTAAAAAATATATCTAGTTATCGCAATGTTGACGCAGTAAAATATTCTACTGGAATTACAGTTTTTTTTTTTTTTTAATTTTAAAAATTATATTTGGCATTTAAAATAAACGTGAATTGTATATATATGTAAAAAAAATTACTTTTTATTTTAGAGTTGCGAATATTAATTTCTTCATTATTAAATTTATATTACTTGTTCTTTTTTATTTTTTATAAACAAAAACATAATTTGGCTTAAAAATTAACCATAATGTATATTAAAAAATAATCTGGATCAACGTATTTAAGCAAATATTTATTTTTAGGTCTACATGTGACCATCAATTCATTTCTCTTATTTAATAAGCTAGAGTTATGTAAGTGTTTTAGGATAACCAATTTTTCAACAAGAAACAAGTTGCATGTGTTTCCTTTCCCTTTATAAGATTTAGCTCTTACTATAATATCCCAGTAAATGGTAGGTTATTATTACCATCATTCTTTAAGTGCCAGAAATATTTGGAGAGAGTAGAGGTGTTTTGTATTTTATATTACTTAAAGTCATTCGGTTATGGTAGAAACAAAATTTCCAAGGATTTTCAGTGGAGACAAAATAAAATTTAATGCCGTTACCGTAATGTATGCTCGCTCGGTATACAATATTATCAGTCATATATTGACCGTTTAAAAAACTAAACATTTTTTTTCGCCTTTTCATTTGATTTTAGAATAATTTACGTTGTCTATTCTGGAAATATATTTATATAATGTTGTTGCGTTGGGATATAGATTTGTCTATGTTATTAAAGCAGCTATAGCTGATCTTAATATTATTTTTGTTAAAAATCTTTTTTAGTGTTGTTGAATGGTTAAAATGTTTATGAATTAAATTTATAAAAATTCCTTCCGATATTAGTTTGAACATTACAATTAAAATTTGAACATTACAATTTTTCTGTTTATTTTTATCTTCTTTGTTATATATATATATATATATATTATATATATATATATATTTTTCTGTTTTATAATTATTTTTTCAAATATGGGTATTCATTTAAATGGATGCCCATATTTGAAAAATACACAGCATCTAAAATTAAAATAACATAAACGTATGTTATAAAATCACTATATAATTATTTTTAAAAAATTATAACATTTTGTTTCAACACAAAAATAGCTGTGTCTTATCAAGTTCTGTGTGATGATGTTGAAAAAAATAAATGGTTTTAAAAGTTTCAGATTAATTAACGATCCTACACTAGGGGGAAACATTGTTACAAAAGCTAGAATAACCAATCAAAAACGAAGTATAGAAAGATTCAAAAGCTTGACAACGAAATCCTGCTATAATAGCTATTCAGATCTTTAAATACGTGTAATATTAAAAATAATTTATACTAACTAATAATTATAAATTTATATGATAAAATTTAATATTAAAATTAAAAACTGGCAATTTTAAAATCCAAATT